GTACAGGAACCCCTTCATCCCAAGGAAGCCAATGTCAACACCTTCCGCCCCTCTGGGGAAGAGCTGAAGGAGGCTAGGAGATGTGACCATGGGTGAAGAATGGAGTCAAGACTTCACAGAGCCCAAGCTGAGCAGATCTCAGGACTGGAGGTGTCACTACTATAAACTCTCAGGAAGCTTTCTCAGTCTGGGTTGACTCAATGTTGTGCCCTCTAATTTCCAGAGGAACTATCACTTCCTGTGATCTGGTCACCCACAGGCAATTCTATTCCACTGCTTATAAGAAAATGGCTTAAGGTTTTTAACAGTAGGAAACAGACATGGGGTAAAAAGGTTTCCTTCCATATCTTTCACTTGTGAGATAGGGAGAATGTTGCTTGTTTAGCTTGGGTTAAATAAAGGAGAGTGAGGTTGAGCTGCCTGTCCAAGGAACCAAAAATTGCTGGTCTCCTAAACAATCTTTTTAAGAACTGAGCTTGGAGCTTAGGTAAAAAACAAAACAAACAAACAAAAAAACCAGAAAGACCATCCCAGGGAATGATGTCATACTCTGAGGGCAGGGAAAGAAAAAACAACCAGGTGAAAGGATAATAAAGAAGAGAAATCTGAAGCAACAGCAATGAGTGGGAAGTGACATCCTAGGGCCACCACCCACTTGATGTCCCCTAACATAATCTGCTCGTAGACAGGAGCCCGAGTTCTGAGGGAGTTGGTCAGTCTGTGGGGAGCTTCCCAGGCAGAAGTTGCGCCCGGGGAACTTTTCAGCTTCACACCGACACCATCAAGTCCTGCAATGCCAAGTGTGCCCAGTTTCATGACTGGCTGCTTGTTTCTGAAGCCACAGTTTCAAAGAGCATGTCATTCTGCTAGGATTAATAAGAGCCAGGTTTATTTTATAACACGCCAATGTGTGGAAAACATCTGTTTGGGAATGAAACTAAGAATTTGGGTACAAAGGGTGATCTTTTACAAAAACACTTCCATAGACACCTGTGTCATAAGCAAACCATATCTTTTTTTTTTTTTAAGTCAGGGTCTCACTCTTTCGCCCAGGCTGGAGTATAGCAACATGATCACAGCTCACTGTAGCCTCAACTTCCTGGGCTCAGGCAATACTTCTGCCTCAGCTTCCCAAGTAGCTAGGACTACAGATTTGTGCCACCACACCTGGCTAATTTTTAAAATTTTTTTGTATAGATGAGGTCTCACAATGTTACCCATGCTGGTCTCGAGCTCTTGGGCTCAAGAGATCTTCCCATCTTGACTTCCCAAAGTGCTGGGATTACAGGTATAAGTTACTGTCCCTGGTCAAACCATATCCATTCACCTAAGGAATCTAACTGACCTCTTCTGAGAGATCTCCTAAGGGCATCCAACGATGGTCTTTAAAAATCCTCACCACAAGTTTTTAACAAGTTTAGAAAATGGTCAGTCTTCTGCTTCCACAGTGCCCAGAGGAAGTCATACCTAGAGCTCCCTGCTGCTTGAGCATGTTTTCCAAGCAAAGGCATGAGAACGCTGGCAATGCCGGAAGCCTGCAGATCCGAGGAGGCCACAGGGAAGGCTGTTTTAGATCAGCAGTTCCCCTAACAAGTCAGAAGAGTACAGAGCCATTCCAGGCACCTGATAGAGAATATACCTGGAACTCATAGCCCCTTCAAACTTTCATCCAAAGCTTGGTTGTGAAAACAAAACTGACGAAGGGTATATGGAAGGTCATGTCATCTCTCCGGGCTCCAGTAATTCAAATCCGTTGCTGGATTAAGCCCCTCCCTTAGGGAACCAGGTACCTGCATCAAGAATGTCAGTTCCCAAGAGACTGGCAGTAACCAAATTACATTTGAAAATGACATTGGCTCCTGCTTGCCATACAATTATATAACAAAGCCCCACTGCGCCCCTCTTCTGTATATCAATAACACTCATGCATACTTATGAGAAAAGATGGAATTAGCAAATGCTGAGGAACATCGTAAGAAAAAGGCTGTGAATAGGAGAACTTTTGAAGATCTGATTGTGATTATAATCAAGAGGTTGGGATGAAAAGCAAGCAAGCATTAGGCCTCCTACAGGAATTTTCCAGTACATACTGTTGTTACCATCTTTGCCCCTTAACAAGAAGCAGGCAGCATCCCTTTAACTGAGCCTGGGCTCTGCAGACAAGTTAAGGGTGATTTGAAAAGTATCATCAATCAGATCTCACTTTTGACTGGTCAGTGAGTTCCCATCAAGAAGAATATTTTGACTAGACTTCTCTCTTGAAGTTACATAAGGTAACCATGACAATAATTTAATCTTTGCTCTCTGAGAGGATCTTAGGAAGAACGAAGCCATCAGTAGTGTGGCCTCTGCTGCTGATGGAGCAGTGGAGAAATCAGCAGGAGAAACCAGTGAAGACATAGTGCTGTTCTGGTGTTCTGAAGGATGAAAGCTGGGTGTGGAGGGGTCTGCAGAACAGGAAGACCTAGATGGGGCAGTCCTGGAAAGGGGTGAGGTCCAGTCACAGGTGGGCCTCCTAGAACTGGTACTACTACTCTCTGATTTGGAGGCCACCTGGCGAACCAACTTGACCCTGTTCCAAAAATAAACTAGCAGTACACCAAACACAGAGATATTCCCCCACTACAATAAAGTATATCTATATATAAGAATATATTGGCCAGGTACAGTGGCTCACGCCTGTAATCCCACCACTTTGGGAGGCCAAGGTGAGACTGCCTGAGCCCAGGGGTTTAAGACTAGGCTGGGCAACTTCTGCGAGAGCTCATCTCTACATAAATCAAAAAATTAGATGGCTTGGTGGCATGTGCCTGTAGTTCCGGTTACTTTAAAAGTTGAAGTGGAAGGATCACCTGAGCCCAGCAGGTCAAGGCTGTGGTGGCTGTGATTCTGCCACTGCACTCAAGCTTGGGTGACAGACTGAGACTCTGACTCAAAAAAAAAGAAAAAGAAAAAAAATATATATGATGTCCCTATATCGCAAATACCTAAAGCGTGGGAGGCATTCTCCTTAATATCAGAAACAAGTCAGATATGCCTAATGAAACACCTGTCTTTGACATTGTTCTAAAAGGTGTAGATTATGCTGTGAGAGAAGGGGGGAAAAGGAACAATTCACATATTAGCCAGCAAATTCAACAAGGATACCATTTGTTACCATCATATTGGAAAAGGTTTATTTTTTCAAAAAGGTAAATGTTCTTGAGAATGCAAGGAAAAAGCTCTCTTGTATATTGCCAGAGGAGATAAACTGAAACAATTTTTCCAGGAAATGGACAATATATACCAAAAGACATAAAAACATACATATGTCAACTCAGAAAGCTGACTGCTAAGGAATTGGACACAGGGAAGTGGACACACGCACAGAGATATAGAGGGAGATTGATTAGAGTTACCTATAATAGTAAAAAAAATTCACAGTAAATTTATTTGCCAAATGTCCATTTTTGAGTAAGTGCTGAATCATGTATGGTACATCTGCACAATGGAGTATTATATAACTATTAAAAGTGGTGGTGTACAAGTCTATTTGCTGACATGGAAAGATCTAACATCAGTTTGGAAAGCAGGCTGCAGGTAGTGTATAAAGGGTGACCACATGCATGCGAAAGGAAAAAGCACATATGCTGAGAGCCAGCTGGGAGTAAGCACCCCAACATGTTAACAGTAATGTTCTCTGGGTGGTATTTTAGGAGTGATGTTAATTTTCTTAAATATGCTCTTTTCTAACTTCTTGTCAATAACTATGCTATTTTAAAAGACATTTCAAATTTTAAAAATAGCTTGACACGGTCTGTGGATTCAATCAACTATGGATTGAAAATCTGAGACAAAAAACCCTAGTGTAACAATTATTTAGTATTGTAAGTAATCTAGAGATGATTTAAAATACACAGGAGAATGTGCCGAGGTCATATGCAAATACTATACCATATTATATAAGGAAATTGAGAATCCATGGATTTTGGTATCCAAGGGGAATCCTAAAATCAATCCCCTATGGATACCAAGGGATAACTGTAATTGGATGACCAACTAACACTATATGTTCTAATGTACAAACATAAAGTCATGAAATATGCTTCTAGAGAACTATAATTAACACTCCAACTTTATATTTATCAAGGGTTGCTAAAAGAACTAACTGGGTAGAATATCTGCATTTCTCCCTCAAAATAAAGTTAATTCTCTTTGTAAATCTGTCATATAGAAATCACCAATATAATACATTTTATTTTATTTTACTTTTTTAGAGAGAGAGTCTTATTCTGTTACCCGGGCTAAAGTGCAGTGATGCAATCATAGCTCGCTGTAACCTTGAACTCTTGGGCTCCAACGATCCTCCTGTCTCAGCCTACCGAGTGGCTGGTACACATCACCATGCCTGGCTGGTTTTTAAAAAATGTTTTTGTAGAGATGGGGTCTTGTTATGTTGTCTAAGCTGGTCTTGAACTCCTGGTTTCAAGTGATCCTCCCATCTCAGCCTCCCAAATGTTAGAATTGTAGGTGTAAGCCATCACACCTGGCCAAGTTTTGTTAACACATTGAGAAAAATTTACTTTGCCTTATGAACTGGAATATGCTCTTCTCTGAGCCATGAACTGCGTTTAACTCGTTTTTGTTCTCAGTTGCTCAAAGCTGAATCCTAGGTTCAAATGCAATTGCTCCTTCATTTTAGATTTTCAGATAGATCACTCTTCTCTCTTTTCTCCTTCCTCCTTTTTACTTTCATTTAAAGTTTTACTTTATCAATGCCTTTTATTGTCATTCTTGGTAGAATTAGAATGCCACAGATTGACTGTTAGGGAGAGGAAAGAGAAAGATATATGGTCTACCAGAGTGTGAGGGACAGTATTATTTATCTCATGAATGAGCAGGAGACCAAATACTACTTTAACTTCAGAGACGAGAGATTGGTTGCTGTTAGGAGTCCCCCCACCCCTCCTTGTTTAGCTGAGGCCTGCACCTGTTAAATGCTCCAAGGGGGCTATACTCACATGTAAACTTGGATGATAGGTCAGCACGCCATTGTCACACAGGGTGACATATTTCTTTTTCCACTCTTTATTCAGTGACTTGCCACTTCGCTTCAACAGCATGCCCTAAAAGGAAAAAAAGACAAAGTCTTATATACATAAAAAAAAAAATACGCACATAGGTAATTTTTACATTTTAAACTTCCTTTAAGTCTTCAACTTGCAACCTTAAAAAGGAAACTACACTCATTTTTAGATAGCTAATTTGGTTTCCTCCTCCCTTTTATACACAACATATATACAAGAGGGGGAACCAAAGAAAACCAGAACTTACTTATAAAAAATTGTGTATTTAAGCTGGGCGCGGTGATTCATGCCTCTAATCCCAGCACTTTGGGAGGCTGAGGTGAGAGGATTACCTGAATCCAGTGGTTTGAGACCAGCCAGGGCAACATGGTCAGACCTCATCTCTACAATAAATCAAAAAATTAGCCGAGCATAGTGACATGTGCCTATAGTTCCAGCTACTTGGAAGGCTGAGGTGGCTGCTTTAGTGCCACTATACTCCAGCCTAGGCAACGAAGTAAGACTTTGACTTAAAAAAAAAAATGGGTATTTATTCTTACATGTTTAAACTTCAGTTGTCTTTAGCATACTTTCCATTTGATGCAATTACACCTACTGAGAAGCTGTTTCCACTGCTCAAAACAGTTTTTAAGCTCATCTATTTTGATGCCTTTTAGTGCTTCTGCCATTTTTTTGTTTTGCCTCTTCCACAATGGCAAAACATTTCCCTTAGAGGAAATTCTTCATCCCGGGACACACCAAAAAGCTGCTCAGGGTGGGCTAGGTGAATAGGGAGAGTGGGACATGGGGATCATGCCGTCGTTTTTGGTCAAAAACTGCTGAACACTCAGTGAGGTGTAGGCAGGTGCGCTTGTAAATCACCCACCATGAACTGGGCAAACATGTTGAAAAAATCTCAAAAAAAAAAAATTCACTGAAGTCAAAAGCAGCCTCTCAGAATGCTAGCTGGTACACTGATGTTGATGAGTTCTTAAAACATTTACTCAGTGGGGGAAGCATGTATTACAAGGGGATCATTTCAAAAAAAATTTTTCTTTTTTTTTTGTTTTGATTCTCTCGTATTCAACAAACTTCCTTGTATCTGCATGTGTGTAGAACTTAACTCTGTGATACTGGCAAATGCTAAAAGATGTGTCATTAGTTCAACAAATATAACACAAGACATCAAGATGTGATATATGAGACCTCTTAAACAACTAAGTTGTAAACACATGGTTAATACCTAAAGGCATGATGTTTCAAAAAAACCCCTCAATTTCCCTTTTAAAAAAATAACATGTTAACAGTATTCTCATCATATGATATTTGTAAATATTTTATTTTATAGTTTCTTTCATTTTGGATTTTTAATCTATTAAAACTGAAATTCTAGCCGGGCTCAGTGGCTCACCCTATAATCCCGTGCTTTGGGAGACTGAGGTGAGTGGATTGCCTGAGCCCACGGGTTTGAGACCCGCCTGGGCAACTTGGCAAGACCTCATCTCTACAATAAATAACAAATTAGCCGGGCGTGGTAGCGCGCGCCTATAGTTCCAGCTACTCGGAAGGCTGAGCGGAAGGATCGCCGGAGCCCAGCAGGTCGAGGCTGCGGTGGCCGGGAGGGGCTACTGCACTTAAAAACAAAACAAAACAAAAACTGAAATTCCACTGGCAAATCTGAGTAACGATATTTAATAGATGAATAGTGTGTAATTTACTTTAATCCATTTTTAATGAAATCATATGAGGGCTCCTTGGAAACCATTCAGAATTTGAGACCAACATATTATTTGAAGCATGTTTAATCCAGTTTTCCTTAAATGGTTGCTGAGAATTTCTTCTTCTTTTTTTATTTTTCTCCTTTTTTTTTCTTCTTCTTGTTTTAACACGAATTTCCATCAATCCTTCTTCCTCATTTATAGGCTCTCCTGAGTGAAGGCAGGAGATGCCAGTATGACGCCCAATACCCTGACCTGGACTCTCCCCTTTGCAGCCTGGACTCAGCCTCCCATGCCTTCCTAGCTTAGAGTCTTTTGTCTTCTTCCCTTACTGTCATCATCTACCTCCTGTTCACGTAAAATGAGGAAAATGCAAGAATCTCTCTATTTGCTTTTTCTCTTGCTGCTGTCCGTTCATAAACTTATATGGCCATAAGAATGATTGAGAAAGCAAGAATCACAGTAAGAGAAAAAATCCAGTAAGCATTATTATGCAATACAACTTGAGTTCAAGGATCCAATTCATTACCAATATTGTGACACTACTGCTTTTTGTTTACTCAAATCATAACCAAGTATCCTAGTAAAACGGATGATGAGCCCGTTGGGGCTCTGACCATCATGAAGCATTGTTGCTGAAGGGAAAATATTTTAAAGCTTGAGCTAATGTACCTTTTGGAAGATGATTTCTTTTCAAGTTCTCACTATTGAAAGAAAATGTGGCAAAATGTGAGAAACCTTGATTTCTTGGACTCAAAGCAGTAGAAACCAACATGGCACTACACCCAATCAACTGAGCCAAGCCCACAGGAAAATGTCACTAAGTTGAAAATCAAGGCAGTAAAAGAAAATCTCATGCCATGGTATGAATTAGTAGGAGGGGGCAGTCACCACCAGTAATGCAATAATAAATAAGCTATTGCTTCAAATCATTAAATGCCCCTCCCCAGTGGGATTCCTGTGGATTTTTAAACTTAGCATAACAAAACCTCACACAAGTTCTCCTGTGGGCTCACATTTTTCCATCATCCTTTTCAGATGAAATTCCAACAATACTAGGGCCAGAGGGTCACTGGTGTCACCAGTAGATTAGAGCTGTTCTGAGTTTCATTCAGAAAGCTTTGTACCTTCCCACTCAGACAAACGCCAGCCACAGCTCACACCCCTGGGGCTCCATGCAAATGGACTTACACAACTCTCTTGGCTGACATGTGGGTACCTTTATGAACAAATCCTATACTTACAGTTATTCTTCCCAATGAAGGCCACGAGGACCTATTCATTAAGGAAACTCAGGAGAACAGTCCAATTAAGAGGCATGTGAAGAGATGACTTCATTGTTTTCTGAGGAACTAAATTAGGCTGATGCTAGGAAAACTTCATGTCTTGGTGAAGGAAAATCCAAATTTTGTCAATCTTAAATAAACTCGATGGTTTTACTTCGAAGGATAATCTTGGATCACATGCACTATTCAAATGCTGCAAAAGTCGGAGGGCCTGTAGAAACCCTGGCATCCTAGAAGTCACATTTCTGCCCTCCAGCCTCAGTCTTAGCTGGGTTTATTATATGAATCCCTTCAAAATTGCTGTGACAGCCTTGGCTGTCCTGTTCACCACTTCATGGCCATAGCCCAGCCAGGCCAGTGCAGGTGGGCTCTTCTTCAAGTGTCCAGAGCACTATTTTGTGCTGAGGCCTTGCTGTTTGTGGCCCTGTTTGCTGTCTCCCTACTCCCTATACGCAGCAGATAGGGGTAGGAAAGTTATGGAAACTATGACTTCCTTGTAACAGATGAGACTGAACCACAAAGGTAAAGCAATTTATTCGCTAACGGGCAGTGGCAGAACCAGCCCTCCTGCCCTCTTCATTCCTGCTACAATGCTGAACTGTTAAAGTGTTCAGTGCTATTCCTAGACAATGACCTACTTCCCAGAAGGAACCCCGAAGCATTCCAGTCGCTGCCTGACCCAACACCTTCCATCTTGAACCATGAGCTCCTCCTTCCAAAGCACAGACATCAAGACAAGGGTCACTCAGGATCTCCCTGGCTGGCACCTCTGTTTCCCAAGTCTTCTGCTGAGAGAGAAGTGAGAATCTGTGACTGCTGGCATTTTATATTCCCACGGCACTCCACTGTTTACAGAGGATATTCTCCAACTCCCAAGAAATTCTAATTCAGTCAAGGAACATGAATGGACAGGGGTTCCACTTCCAGAGAGCTTGGGGAGTCCATGTCTCTCACTCCCAAGTTCCCACTGAAATATAATGAAAGCTTTGAGTGGGAGAACAGATAAGCACCACTCTGAGATGAAAAAATTCTGATTTTTCCTTAAAATATGCTACATTTGGCTACAAAGGAATGAATTTCCTCTTGCTAAGTCCAAAAGCAGTCTGAGAAGGTTCTAAACACTGAGTGTCTTAAGAGGAAAAAAGAATATGATGAGCAAATCTCAACCCTACTAGCAAATGCTGTGCAAGGGCTATTGGAAGCTGAACAAAGTCAGACCTGCTTTTCGGGGAGGAGCACTGCAGCCAGAACTCAACAGGGCCACATGCTGCCACAAATGGGCCCCTGAGGTTGTACAGCACAGTGACCCTGCAGAGTAAGTGGGTGCCGTGTTGCCAGATTTCCTGCCTATCCAAGAGAAGGACAAAACCCAGACTTTATGTGATGGTTCCTTATGATAAAATATTGGCAAAAGATTATACATTTTTTGCACATAGCACAGGTCAAACTGAATCTGTCTGCAGGCTAGCTGCATGTGGGCTCTGTGTTCAAGACCTCTTGCAAAGAGGGAGTAGGTTGGGGCACCCCTTCCCATGGATCTCAGAATCTGGAGGCAGCAACGCTTGGCTACCTCAGAGGTAAGTCTCCATGGGACATGGGAATACCGGCCTCAGGAGGCAGCAGGTGCAGAGGCATGCCCTCTCAGGCTTTCACAGTCACAGCGGCTCCTTCTCGTCTCAAACTAGCTGGCTGCCTTCACCCACTCTTCCTGCCTGGCCCTTGCAGACACCTGAGTGCCTGGGCCCTGTCACAGGTCTTGCCAGGATTAGAGACAGGAAACAAGGCAGAGGTTACCTGATATGCATTAGATAAGATTCCCCTGGAGGCTCTGGTGAGGATGGACTTTAAACTGGCCAGACTGAAACCAATGGCACTTTTGTACTCAAAGTGTGGACCACTTTGGACTAGAGGCTTAGGTATCACCTGAGAGCTCATTAAAAATACAGAGTGCTGGGCCCACTCCAGAGAAAAGGGATCAACCTGAATTTAATAAGATTCCCCCAGCCTGACATTTTCTTAGGAAGCATTACTTCTCCTAGAGAATGTTTAAATTCTA